AGTCCCCACCATCAATCTGCATAGAAAGTCAGTTTGGAAAAAAAAAGAAACACGCACATTTTGAGCAAATGTTGGCCGGCTTCAGCTGCAAATTCACTTGTCAGGAAAATTGGAGTTACTGGAGCTGGATGGCGTGAACATCTGTGCAACGCGAACACTAGGGCGGGGAGGGGGGAGCGGAGCCAGCTGCCTGCGGATGCGCCGGCAGGATGCTGGGGCTGCGACTCAGCACGCAGCCCCACTCCCACATGCGAGGGGACCCCAGTGAGCTCCCCAAAATGCCCCGGAGAGGAGGCTGCGACTTGGGGGAACTCACCACACCGGCTCACCAGCTGCAAAGTCCCTTTGGGTGAATATTGGAATAACCAGGCTCAACAGCACAGGACGGGCAAGGAGGGACTGCCCACACCAGCAGGACTCCAACCCCACATCTCCTGTCCTTCCCTAGGTCTGCCTGCACTGCGGTGCTGCAGCCTCCCCCAGTGTTTTGGGGTGCAACAGGGCTCTTCCATCACTTTCAGAGCCACCACGACCAGCACCCAGCCCTTCCCAACTTTATCCCACATCAGCACCACTACAGCCCCAGCTGCCCAAATCTGCCCATTTATGCCCAAAACGACCCTCAGGCAGGAGCTAATCGGCTACTCAGGCATGAGCAGATTGGGTGCTCAGGTGTTGACTAATTGGGTGCTCAGGTTTTACCCAAGCAATGGCACAATGGGGTGCTCAGGTGTGACCTAACTGGGTGCTCACGCGTGAATTAGTTGCGTGCAGGGGTGTGAATTGGGCACCCATGCCCAGGCACCCATGCAGGAAGCAACTGGGTGCAGAAACCTCATTATTTTGCCCAACGTACCTTCTTGGAGAGGCTGGAAACAAGGATGCCTGAATTGTACCCCCGTGTGTGTCAGGGTGGGAGGGGATAGGCACCAAAGTGAGGTCAGACCCTGGCTTGGGGACACCTCTCTCCATCCTCCCTCTCCCCCAGATTCAACACCACAAACAACAAACAGCTTTCAAAGCGCCGTCTCCATTGATGTCACATCAATGCCAGAGGAGATAAAAGCTGAGAGATCCAGAACCAGCGCTGGCTTTGCTGGGGAATATTAATTAGAGGGAAAGCATCATTAGCGCAGCAAGGGTGGCCATCGGTGCTGCCTCCCCCCGCCATGTGCCCTGGACCCCCCGAAGGAGCACGATGGGTGTCAGTCCCACCAGCTGCCTGGGTGGGCTAAGCGATGGGGCACATGCAGATCACTCAATGCAAGAGTTCAAAATTCAAATGTTGAAAGGTTGTTTTTATGTGAATTTAAAAAAAAAGGAAGGGGAAAACCTGCTTCTCCCCATCCAGGGCCGCTGGGGAAGCCCAGAGCTCCGGGCTGGGTGATGAACCCCTCCCTGTACCCTCTGGAGCAGCCCAACAACAAACCCAAGTGTTCATGGGGAAAAAGCAGCACATGGGTTATTTAATGCATTTTGGGACAGTTTTTGACAAGTCTGCAGCTGGACAGGAGCAGAGGGAGGGTGAGATGTCACCTCCTGCTGCCCTGAGCCTCTCTGCCAGCAGGGAAAGGGGGGGTTCGCTGCTGCCCCAGGGCAAGCCCTGGCAGCCCCTGCATCCACTGCTGAAGGATACATGGGAAGGGGTGAGGAAAATGGATATTGTGAAGTGGCACAGGAGCCCTGAGCACCAGGACCCCGCTCCATCACCCCCGAGAGCCCAGGCCAGCTGAGCAGCACCCTGCCAGCCCTGACCCCCATTAACCTCCCCTGGAAAACACTTGCAGCAATTTTTTTTCTTCAAATTTGCAGCAAAACGGCATTTGCAGCAAAATCCGTAGGTTAGTGACAGGAAGGTAACGAGGAAGGAAGTATTGTTGGGAGGGTTTAACCGCCACGGCCATGCCAGCTTCTGCGGCCAGGCCTCCCTTGGCACTGCCTGCCGATGAGGAGCAGCACCCATGGGTGCCCCAGCACCCAGCCCGGTTGGAGGACACCAAGGGGACCAGCAAGAAGGGTGCTGCAGCTGACCTCGGGCAAAATCGCTCCTTGCCAAGGCCGTGAAGTCGAAGGGCTGAAGC